AATAGTGCAAAAGGTTCTTTGTGATAATTAGAATGTTCTTGAATTTGTTATAGCATTTCTACCTATTATGGGTCCTCTCCATGTATTGTTAAATACCCGTCAGCTAATTTTTTTAAAAAATTCATTTTTATTTAATGATTTGTATAAGAGTATATTTGGGTTTCGTAAGAATATTAGTTAGAAACCACAACCATGGTGAATAGATTTGATTCTTTATATTATACATTTGGCATGGTTTGAGATAGTTGATTTTATTTATTTAAAATTTGGATACACATGCAAAAATATAAAGTTTTTATATTTGACTAATCTTTTTAATAATCTTATTCTCTTAGTTTTAGATGTTTATGTGATACACTATTGGGAAGGAAATTGGCTAGCATACGAAGATGCTTGCATGCATTGTTGGAGTGACCTTTTTTTGCAATTTGACAGAAAAAATTATAAGCATGCACCTATAATGTTTTTTTCTAACATTTTTTATTGAATAGAAACTGGCCATCTAATAATTAATATAATTATTGATCACCTTGCTTCTTTAAGTGATTGTCCTGTGGAACTTTTTCATAGTATTGTTAGGTGGCGCACTACTAAATCTTCTACTTCTTAACAATTATGAAGCACAGCCCATTTAATTTACCAACAGCATCATAACAATGATTTCCAACAACATTTTGTACACTCTACAAAATATCCGTATTTACCAAAACAATTGCAAGCACTTTCTCAAAAATGCGCGATAGAAATTTTGAAAACGTTCACTAAAATATATTGTGTACCTAACCAAAATTATTTTGTAATTGATTCATCTAATAATATTAACACATATAAATTACTATCTTTAGATTATGAGATTACAGACTGCCACCTTCTGAGAGGTTTTGTTACTTTAAAAAAAACTGATCTTAACACTCTGTGTGATTCTACTCATTGTAATAATCCTCTCGATTTGTCTAATAGAAGTATTTTGGCATGCGGGCATGGTTATCATAGTTATTGCTTACAGAATCAGCAATTTAAATATTTTATTTGTTTGAATTATTTATGAAATGAAATTAAAAAAAATACTGATACATTATTAAAAATTTTAAAAAAAGATTTAGGTGAAAACAAGTCTATCGAAGATAACAAATATGATAATGTTGACGATGATGATTCAAATGAAGTTCAAGAAGTGTCAGACGATGCAACAATTGAAAATTTATTAGAACGTGTAAAAAGAACATTTTTGGAGTTGTAAATTCTTAAAATTTTAAAATTTAATGTAAAAAATGTATACATGATAAATAAAAATTAAAAATTTGAAATTGTATAAAATTATTCTTAATCTTGATCGCTCACTTCCGACTATTATATGATAAATAAAAAAAATTTTATACGTAATAAGTAATACAAATAATGTAATAAATACTTAACACTACTTAATATTAAGTAAGGGACAAGTAATAATTCATTATTACTCACAAAATTACTTTGAATCGGGTCTTTAATCTAGTGTCGCATGGGAATCATGTATATTAAACATCACACCTCTATATAAATATTATTTAAAAATTGATCTACATTTATTTGTCACATGACACCTCTTTATGGTAATTGTTGACTCAGGATAGCCAATGATTTGACTGTCCCTGCTGAACCCAAAAGGTGAGCGAAGAAATAAAAGGATAGAGAGGCCGTGTGCTAAAAAGAATAACATTTTTTGAAGATTATTGAATAAAATGATTTAGTCTTCTTATGATGCCATGTACCCTTAGATTAATAATTTATTGAAAAAATGCAAATTGTAGGCAAATTTGCCTGCAAAACAGAGTAAGGGATAATTTGACATATTGCATTAAATTTTTAAAAATTTTTAAAATTTCACAATTCGGCTGATACAGCATGATTAATTGGTAAGTGATCAAGATGATGAGCAAGTACCATAATTAATTTAAAATTCTAAAGTTCATATTATTATATATATATATATTTAATATTGTATTTAGGGCACCAGTGGCGCCCCCATTGACACTTGTAGAGTATATTGATGTAACTTTTATTAAATTTATAGATTGCTGTACACCTATAAAATCACTTGAACAATCACTTGATTTTTGTTCGGCTGTGCGATTGTACAATAATTTTTTAGTGAGCATAAATACGGCACCATATTAAGCGATTTCACGCGGATCCTAAGATACATTTTTTATTTGGAACATTAAAATTTATATGAAATCTTGACAAGAAATACAGTTAGACCTCTATATAGTCCTATTTTTATAATCACACCTCTATATAAGCACTTAATTTTGTTAAATAAGCTACTATAAATATATAAAAAAAACCTCTGTATAAGCACAATCTCTTTATAAGCACATTTTTAAAAAAAGTTCTTATGCTCCCAACTAAGTGGATGACTGTATAAAAAAGGAACTTTTAAGTTTGGTCTGCATTTAATCAATAATATAAAAATTCTGAGATAATGTACTGGTACATTATATACATTACGTGAAAAAAAAGTTCGATAAACAATTTTCTTTTGGGCTAAAACAAGCTCAAACAAAAAACTTTAAAGAATAAAATATAGTCTAAAATTCATTATTATTATTTTGCTATTTTACTATTTTACCAATTTACTAATTTTATTAATTTATTAAGGAAATATTGCAGCAGCTCATGAGGAAATACCAAAATATTTCAGAAAAAAGAAATTGGAAGGCCAGAAAAAATGAACATCAAACAATAACTTAAACAATAACTTATAGATGTTAAAGTTGTATATTTTATTTTCAGGTTTCAGTAAATAATAATGAATTACGCTGTTCTGCATATTCCAATTTTTTTTTAACATTGTAATTGACCCAACAGTAATAAATGCTTGTTAAAATATTGTTGCTAAGAATTATTGTAGATGTGATCAATGTAAGCAATGGTATACTGGCATATATGATTACATATCTTTGATAAATTATCTATAATATGAAATAGATATAGTTATAAATATAATAATAATTCTTAAATTAAAAAAAAAAATAACACACCTGAATGACAAGTTGTGGAATATCTTTGACAAATAAATGACATGTGGTACCATAAAGAATCCGCTTTTTAAAATTTTCAGACACCGAGGCAGAAAAGATGACAAGTCCAGCAAAATTTGAAGACAAAGCATTTAAAGCCTCAACGTTAGTACTAGAAAACAAAGTAAAAAATGCAACAATGTTTGGGTTTTTAAAAAACCATTCACGAAAATCAATGTTGCATTGTATCTCCTTTGTAAGAATGATAAATGATAAACTTAGATTGGAGGATATCGATGCTATCAATATTATTAAACTGTTTGTATGTGCGTTTGATAAAATAAAGTAATAAGAATTAAAATTGAGAAGTGACAACAAAATAATAAAGTGATATTAAATCAATAAATTAGACTTGCCTTGGAATAAATAATGATGGTACATCATGACCATTTACAATTATAAAAGAGAAATCAAGAATTAAACCTAAAACCAATAATGAAATTTTGAATATAATAAAGTTTTGACCCTATTTAATTACAAAAAGATTGTATAATAATAAAAAATTAATACGCAGTCAAAAACATTAAAAATTAAAAATATGTGTAGAATCAACGTGCCTTTGGATATCGTCTTTTGGCCAACCAATAAATTATCAATAATATAATTATAATAATCAATAAAACCAACAATTTATATCTAATCTCCGACCACAAATTTGCTATTAATTAGTAAATATAAGTAAATATAAGTAAATATAAGTAAGTAAATATAAATAAGTAAATATAAGTAAGTAAATATAAGTAAGTAAATATAAGTAAGTAATATAAGTAAAGATAGATAATTAAGTATACTATATAAAATTTGAGAAAATTACATACGTTTTGGTTGAAATCCATACTGATCATCAAAAAACATCATATATGTTTTATTCGAAAGAGCACTTATGTATTTATTTGTTATTATGTCATTTAAATTATTGATAATATCGTTTACACTTGGTTCTTTCGAACGATCTGTCGCCTTATCAACAGAAAATTCAATTAAAAGTTTTGTGGAATCTGAAGGATCTAATTGGACGTTATGAGTTATTTTTAATCTATCATCATTCAAAGGGATGCATTCTTTAATTTGTTGTAATATATCGTCAAGTAAATGATTCTTATTTGCTTGATCATAGCTTAAAAAATATTTTGTACCATCAGGATTTAAGCGCAAAAGAACTTCGGTTGAATCTGTGAAAACAATCTTTATAGTATTTAAAAAAAATGGTTACGACAATAGATATAAGAAATGAGTATTAACTTACATGAAACAACAGAATTATATGCTTGAATAAAAAAGATTTACATATTAAAATAAGGCAAAATTATGAAAGGGAACATATAAATTATACTCACTTTGAGGTGTTTTTACATTCCAAACACCTATATTAATTCCTTGCAATGGTTCATCAAATGAAAAACTTTTAGCAAAATTGTTATCGGCAACAATAGTATAATTGCTGTTAACTCGATTAAACGTGCTAAGTAAAGTTTTACAAGTTAAGGTCGAGATGTTATACACTTCACAATAAGATGATGTTGGGTATGTTTGGCGTAATAAAAATTTGTTTTGATCGATTATTTGATAAATTGAAATATTTCCGGAAGATGGAACTATCGGAACCGAAAAAGTGATACTGATACGATCTGTATATAACAAAGGTACTGTCATATTTAATGTTGGATACGTGGATAATATTACTCTATTGTTATAACCGGCTGAGGGAATAAAATAAAATAAAATGAAATGTCAATAATAGTAATAGTAATAATAATAATTATGATAATAATTATGATAATAATGATAATAATAATAATAATAATATGCCTACAATTATTAGAAAATCGTTCTATATCAAACATAATCAATTCGGGGCTAACCGTACTATTGCCATATGTAAGCCATAAAGTATTATTACTATAAATACTATAATCTATTATGCTTGCGTTAAAAACCTCAAATAGTTTGTAACTACTTGTATAATTGAAATTATAAACATTCACTTGGTAAGAATAAGTATCATCCAACATTATATAATTAATTGAGAAGAAGCCTCCATACGGTAATGGTATGACCGAAATATGTTGTATAGTAGCCGTTAGAGTCTCTAAAAGATCAATACTCGAAATGACATCACGTTGAATTACTGCTCCAGATGACGAAAAAGTTATAAATGAAGTTGCCGTTTTAAGCGTTATCGGAGAATCGCTTATTAAGAAATAATCAAAAGTGCATCCATTACTTTGAATGTTAAATGTATCAAAACCACTGTTACACTCAGTTAATGAAACATCAGTTATTGCATTATCAGTAGAATCTTGAAAAAGTAAATGTTCTTCAGAAATTTGATCTTGGTCATCATTTATAAAATGTACGTAAATTGAATATTTAATACTTTCGGTAGCATTTAAACTTAAATATAAATTTGAGACATATTTGTTAGAATTAAGAACCAAATAGACAATTGCATAATGACCATCTAATGTAACCAAAGTTTGATGGCTGATAAAGGTGAAATTATCTATCGATGGCTTAATAAATCCATATGATACTTGTGTAACTATACCATCATCCCTGAGAATGAAAAGTTGTTAAAATTAACTTTAATACTTACGTACGAACGTACTGTACGTATGTGTGTACTTAAAAAAGAAATCAATAAATTGACAAAACCCTTGACGAAACCCCTCCTGATTGATAAACCTTAAATAATAAAATTAAATAATAAAAATAATGTACAGAACTTAATCAAAGATGAATTTAGTAAAGTATAAACTTGAAATGAGAGGGATTTAACTCCCTAATAAAGTTTTTAAAATATATTTTAAGGGAATTGCTATTCGTACCCCAAATTTGCTAGCTATACCCCCATACAAATTAAAGTTTTTTTGAACTTTGAGCGAAGATAACTTGACAACCACCAAGTTAAATTCGACAAACTTTTTTATTTGAATACTATGCATTCATAGAATTCAAATAAAAAAAAGTTCATTGAATTTTGCCTAATGGTTGCTGAGATATCTTTGCTCAAAGTCTTAAAACGTCAATCAAAACTCAATTTTTTTGATTCTTTAAGCGAAGATATCTCGACATTCACCAAGCCAAATTCGATGAACTTTTTTTTTATTTGAATTCTAAGAATCTGTAGAATTCAAATAAAAAAAAGTTTGTTGAATTTGGTTTGATGATTGTCAAGATATCTCAACACTCACCAAGCCAAATTTGATGAACTTTTTTTTATTTGAATTCTAAGAATCTGTAGAATTCAAATAAAAAAAAAGTTTGCTGAATTTGGCTTGATGATTGTCAAGATATCTTCGTTCGAATTTTTAAAAAACTCAATGCCTACGAATAGAAGCTGCACCAAATTTTTTTCAGTAACCATCAAGCCAAATTTGATGAACCTTTTTTTATTCGAGTTCTACGAATCTTAGGATTCAAAAAATTTATCGGATTTGACCCAGTAGTTGTTAAGATACCTTCACTCAAAGTTCAAAAAAACTTTAATTTGTATGGGGGGTATAGCTAGCAAATTTGGGGTACGAATAGCAATTCCTTATTGTATTATATTCTAATAAATTATTTAAACATTAATTAATACCACTACACTTAAAACGCCAATGTCGATACATTTGTATCGGTTAAAATACATTAAAGTACAAAAAATATTAAGAGCTGAATTAAAATTCAGCCGTTAAAATCATTAAAAAAAACCCCCCGGGTGGATTTTACGTATCAATATTTAAGCCTAATTCTCAAGTATAAGTCCTTTTACAAATATGTGAAACACGAAAAATACATACGTACGTAGCATTGATTTTCATTGGATAATCGACGCGTGTTCAGTATTGTTATTGATCATGATCAGGTGTAACGCGATAATCAAACTATTTTAAGTTGGGCGTTTTCTCTGTTTCTCACTTAGTTCGTTTCTTCTTCCTTCCGATATCCAGTTTTTTGCATCTCCCCTTTAAGGTTTATTAGTTCCGAAGGAATAGCCCTCCTTAAAATCAGCCAAAAAACCTGCGAAGTAGAGGTTTTTGTTAGCGAACAAAGCAAAACTTCGAAGAACAACTTATTCTTGTAACGAGAGATACAAGAGAGATCTGGTTGGGTACAAATGCGAGTGCTGTTGGTGCATTGTTTTTAATAGTGTATAAGAAGAAAACGATTATACAAATATTGTTTAGTAGCTCTCAGGCCCCTTCCCAACTAATGAGATACACCTCTGAAACAAAGTACCTTGAGCAGTGTCTGAAATTGGGTTGCGGAGTCTGCGGGCCGCAACAAAATTTTAAATTCCCGCAACCGAGTGCACATGCGGATGGTGTGTTAGATACCAAATGATATACTATCATAGTGCGACACATATAATCAGATTTAATTGTTAGGATTTTTTACTGGAAAATCAGGCATATTCGGATACATTCTTGGGTATAAATTAATTTTTTACGCACTTATTTATTATTAAAAAATTTTAATACTTCTATTTTTTTTTTTCTTTAATAATCGTTTTAAAATAGCTTGAGCAGCCACTTCACCAACCTCTTCTTCGGCACAATATAAAATTTTTATAATATATGAATAATGGAAATATTTCATTATATTATTGTATAAAAAAAGACCTTTAATATTTTAAGAATTTAGCTTAAATAAAATTTAATTGGCACTACATAGTAAACTTACTTTAAATTAATTCAATGTGTACATACAGCACATATTTAATTAAATGAGTATAACTATCAAATAAGACTTCGATGCAATATATATGATAACCGTTATGTAGAATAATGCCTTTAAAATGTTATAACTCCTGCTCGAGTAGAGCAAATTTAATTCTATAAAAAGCGAATGTTATATTAATAATATGCTTTTAAAACTATGTTGCCATATTTGATATTATTATGTAAGTTTTAGTAGCTCTCTATAACTTAATCGTTTAAAAAACTATTAAAATTTATTAATTTATGATTTTAGACATATTAATAAAATGAAATGAAAATGTCTCAACATAGTTTTAAAAGCTTACTATTTACACATCATTTGCAAGTTACAAAATTGAAATTGCTTTACTAGAACAGGAGTTATAACATTTTAAAAATGCTTAGTTTTTATTATAAAATTACTATGATAAATTTTTTTGATAAATTGATCGGCAAAATTTTAAAAATCTTTAATAGTGGGCCAACATATAGTGCTGAACTATGATAGTTAATCATTTGGTATCTAACACTCCAATAAATTATATTGTGTTTTTCGGGGTTTGATCTGTAAAATTAATTTCGGATAACCCACAATTACAGGTTTTTGATTAGGATTTGATATTTAAAAAATTACAATATATTAGTCATATGATGAAAATTTTTTCATCGGAGTTAATGTTACATTCATATGGCGGCAAATATTATGCTATTTGGTCATAGGAAGACTTTCGTATGATTGGCAGTTTAAATCAATTTAAATTTCCATTATTTATACAGTTTAAAGTACTTTTTTAAAAAAAGGAAAACTACTCAGAATAAACAAAAAAAAAGTATATAGAAAGCTTTATTAGGGTTGTAGGACTCCACTATTAAAATGTATCTAAATCCCTTTTTGTTTTAGAAAAGTTAGCATAATAGCGACTTCTTAAAGATAGGTTATCACAATGCTAACTTCTCTAAAACAAAAAGGGATTTAGATACTTATTAATAGTGGAGCCCTACAACCCTAATAAAACTTTCTATAAAACTTCTTTTTTGTTTATTCTGAGTACTTTAAACTGTATAAATAATGTAAAATTAAATTTGATTTAAACAGCCAATCATATGAAAGTCTTCCTATGACTGTACGTACGTACGTATGGTACATGATGTAGATCAGCATGTAGATCAATACGTATTTGATCAATATGACGTTCCTAGCTGCACCCCTTGCTCTTAAAAATATACGTATCGACATTTTTGAGACATTAGTAAAAAAAATGTCGGTCGGTATAGAAAGATTTACTATGATGTCGTTATATCCAGATGTCGGTATACATAGAGTGATGTGTATTATTAGGCATTGGAAATTCGATAAATAAAATAATTAATAGTATATAATGATGATAATCAAAAATCAACTAAGTATCTGAGTTACTAAATTTCGCAACCTATTAAGTTGTAACTATAGTTAATTTGGAAAAACTCGATGTACGTAGCGATCCCTCAAGTTTAGCATTTGTTCGAACACTCGTTTAACAGTTTATTTATAACAATCATGAGCAAAATCTTGCAATTTATTTATTCATTCTAACCATATTATTTTACATTATCAAATTATTACGTTATTATGTCTTGCATTACCCTGATAATTTTCACCTGGCGATTGTTATTGGCAGTAAATTTTAGTATGCTATTTATGTGTTCTGAAGGGTCACAGAAATAGAAATATTCACACAATTGGTCACTTCACACACAATAACTATTGTTTCTTTTTTACATATTACTAATTACTTAATTTTTGTCATTTCCTAATCATATGAATCGGGTAATCACTCACGCGATACTACTATAGTAATTACACTTGCTGTATTTCGTTAATTAGCAAAAAAAGGATCAGGATATTTCTATGCTTGGTCCAAGACAAAATATTTTCGAGCCCAATTTCGAGCCCAGTACAGTAAAAGTATCCAATTTATGAACTGGGTCCGGCCCATAAAATATATTCTTGTGAAAGTAAAATATTACATATTATCAGGATAACCTTTTAAAATTGAAAGTTTCAATGAAGCTAGTTATAATTGGACCACTTCAATCCGTTTACGCCATATACTTAATTATATTTACCCGGAAAAGTACGTACAATTGATTTTAAATTCATCTGTTATGATTCATTTATGACATACAATTTATCTTCATTTGGACTAGCTTATTTAAATATATTTTTTTGGTGTTAGGATCAGTGTTGAAATTTAATAGAAAATATGGTGATCTTTATAAACATACTATTTT